GCTAAGGTTGATAAGATAAGGTTGGGAGTCTGACCCAAAAATCTGAGTCCTTCTTGCAGCAAATATTCTGGTTTAAGACTTTGCCTGCTTGTCGCCTCGGTCCTGCACGCTGTCGCCAGGCTGGTCAAGCATGTCCAGTCAAGAATGCGACCGTTTTAGCCACCCTATATCCTCTTGTCTTCATGCCTCGTCGTTGCCATTAATAGAAGGATCAGTGGCGTCTGCAGGGGGTGGGTTTGAGGCAGAGAAGGGCAACCGTGAGCTGACCAGGGCTCAGGCGAAAGCAAGGTTTCTCATTGGCCGTTGGAGGTGTTCCAGGGCGACGAACATCCGGGGCAGAGCGTGCACACGTTCGCCGCACCGTTAACAGCTCTGTCACAGAGTCATTAATCACTGCCGTTCTCTCTTCCAGTGCAAGAGCCGCTCAGCTTCGCGCTTGCCAAATTAGGAGTGTGGTGACAACCCCTGACCCAGCTAAGGGTGTAGACCACACTCGGGAAGAGAAGGTCAACTAGAAAGAATAGCAACAGTTTTCATATTATTAGTTTCATCAGTAAAGGCCTGTCACTGTCTTTGTTTGGTAGCAGTTTCTTTATTTAATGTTGCAGCGTGTGGCTTACTGCAGTGGAACGCCCCAGCCTACAGAGAAGGGGGGGGGAATGTGGCTGACAGCATGGCACTCAATTAAGTAGGCTATGTCACTGCTGATGAATCTTGACCTGTCTTGAATGCTGCATCTTATGAAAGAATCAGGCTATGCTGTTCTCCACACTACTTATTTTTTTTTTTCAAAAGAGAGAAACATCATTAATAAATGAGAGAGAGAGCAACTGCTGCTGTTCCCCTGGAATTCTTGTAGATTTGAGCTTTGTTTAGATTGTGTACTTGAAATTCCCCAATGACTGCTGCTATTGTCCACTTAAGGCAGGAAACAGGTCCCTTGGGTTGACTAACATGGGCTAATTCACTTTTGACGTTGTCAGTTAAATGTTAATGCTGTAGTTTTTAGCATCCATGTTGCTTGTAACTGTCATAATGCTCAGTATGTGCAATCCTCCACTCAAAGTCAGTGTCTAGATGAGCAGTAGCCATTGCAAATTGTTTTTGGAATAAACAAGATGGCAACAGTCTGATACCCAGTATGGCTATCAGGCTGATATCAGCAGAAAACTCTGGATTTCATATTAGAGGAGTAAAAAACAATGAATCTTATCAAATCCTGTAACAAATCCATCTTTAAGTAGCACACGCTTAGACTGTGTGATGTGGTGGTGTTAGCTGTGTGGGAGTGTTATCTTGCTAACTTCAGATGTTGCCCATATGTGTATTATATTTGTCTGTACCTGAACACCCTCAGAATGTGTCTGTGCCCTTAAAAACTAATTGAGAAAATGCTAAGTAAAGTTACTTTTGCAAATAATACATTTTTAATAAATGCTGCCCTGATGCAGCTCTGATAAAAATTAACGTCTAATAATTGGTTTTAGGTCATCATAATGTCCTAAGTGCCAAGTGGGTCCCTGCCCAGTTTTATCATCCTTTTTCACCTTTTCAGCATTTTAAAAGCAATTTCATTAATTAAAAAATGTAAAATATGGAGAGCGGTGATAATGTCTGTCTTGCTGGGTGTATGCTTTTAAAATAAACTGCCACGCATGCATACATTTCTGTCCAGTTAAGCGTAGGCTTTGGGTCAGGTTTTAGTTGTGCTTGTTCCATATATACACTGTTGTAACTCAACAGCAGATCATGTGTGGCCATGTTCACAACACAACCAAGCCTGAAGTCATTTACATTCTTAGCAAAGTGTTCTGAACCTTCTCTAAACGTTGAACTTCACTAGATTTATTTTCCAAAGGAATATATGTGACGTTACTTCTTCAGTGCCGTTTAATGACTTGAGTGGGTGCTGTTTTATTTATAAATTGCACTCTACAATTTGATCATTCAAATGAGGGCTCAGTCATGAGTGCATTTTTGTCTTTTAACTGTGAGGCAGATGTTGCTGCAGTAATAGCAGTGGGATTTGTGTGCAGGGAACATATTTTCATATATATTTTTTCTGTTGCTTGCCTGACACATTTCGAAGGCCATGCATTCTTAGGAGCAAGTGTTATCAGAAAGGATGTAGGCATTTTTTGCACAAGCCTGCTTGAACAATTTGCGCGCGAACACTCTGTTTGCTGCAGTTTAGTCCAAGATTAAACATTGTTCCTCTCCAATTACCGATGCTAGTTCTTTTGCGTGTTTAACAAGTCTAGGAATAATGATGAATTAAGAGTCAAAGCACTTTCTTTTCTTCGGTAGCATCTAATGGGGAGAAAGTGTGCCTGGATTTGTTCAACAAGGCATTTCTTGCTCGCCTCCATTTTCCTGAAATGAAGGCTCTGAGCTTCACTGGTCCAGTGACTCTCTCTGAGTGGAATGCGTTTGTAGACAGAGAGTGACTCACTCTCTGCCTTTATAATCCCGTCCAATGGCGCGAGCCCTCCCGAAAGCCTTACGGACAAAGGGTGTCGCAGCGGTGCCAGGAGGAAAAGAGTTTGCAGCCTGCCAGGGCTCCTGCTTCCAGCAGCCGTCTTTCCAGACCTTGCCCCCTAAAATCTTCCTTCCTCCCTCCTAAATCTTAATCTCCCAGCGGACGGCTTCAGTCCCCTAACACAATGGCCCTCTGTAGTAACATGCAGCGCAGAGCCTGCTTTGGGCCTCCTTATTCCTTCTGTGTTTTTGATGAAATGACTTTCTTCTCTGCTGAGTGAGGAAGGTATCAGAAGGCGCTCTTCTGAGGCGGATCGGGTTGTGTTTGACTACTGAAAGGCTGCCAGCGAGCCCAGCGGCGCTACTCTTCTGACCAGCTACAGCCTCTTGTGCCAGGCTGATCAAGAGAGGAATGTAGTGATGGGTGCCTTTTCCCTTTGCCTTTTGTGAGTAGCCCTCACTTCTTGAGTGCTGAAAGGATGTCTTTATCCGCAACCGGAGATGGGTTTAAACTCCTTTTATGTACTTCCAATTCCATCAGGCTTATTGTTAATGCTGAAAACTAGGGCTGTTGAGAAAGGGGGGGAGGTTAAGGTAAAAAGGTCCATAGTAGTTACTGTACCACTACCCAACACTGTCAATCTTGTAATGCCTGATAGGACTCAAGTTTCCAGGTGGAGAAAATAAAGGTGACCAGTTTTCAGCAAGAATGTTCCAGCAACCATCACCACCCAGCCCCCCCACCAACCCCCCACCCCCTTCTCTTTTCACTCTGTTTAAGTGTTATTTGTTAATCAATAGACTTGGTGGTCTGTTTTTCAATCAGACACTCTTGCTGAATCACAGTGAGTGACAAGGGCGTTTGTAGAATTTAAGTAAACATTTTAAATTGACTGAGCCGCCTTGTTTTCTCTGGTGCGGACAGTTTTTATTGGACTCTACCATTCAACTTCTCTTTGCCCAACCTCTTTTGAGGGAAGGGCTGGGCTGGTCAGGCTTAGTGCCTCTGTCTCCCCACACAGAGGTCCGCCCTAGTGCAGTGTCTTCTGCCGCTTGTCTGTAGACTACACTAGTGTGATAAGTTTGTCTTTTGCTGCCTTAATGAAGATTTTCTGAATAGGAGAAACTTGTACTTCATTTTTTGTTTGCAGGGTATCTGTTCCTCCTTATTTGTGGTTAAACATGTTGTTGAATACCTCGGAAAGTAAATAGCTGACTTGTTACACTAATCTGTCATGAGGTTTGTCATTGTAATGTTAGCAAATGAGTACAGAACCTGATGGTGTTGATTGTTAACCAGTGATCAGTGACTTGGTGCTCATTGTCATGGAATGGTTTGGCAAGCAGCGAGTGGGGTTCAAATCTGCCCAGGATCACACTGCAGGGATAGTAGATCGTCCTTAGCTCTGCGAACTATTATGGTACTCTGTTATGCTGTTATTCAGTCAATCATGTTCCATCAGCTCTTAATCTGGAACCTCCACAGGGTTCCTAAACGTGAAAAACACGGTTGTTATTCCACACAGCTTCCCAGTAGTAATCCTGTTTTTCTTCCGTTCATATCTCTTTGATTCCACAACACACAAAACCTGCCTTGTGCAGGTGTCTGGTTGCAGGCTAACAAGAACCAGACTTCAAAGATGGACAAATTGATTATTTTATCTTGGTCAGAACTAACAGGCTTTCTGGCATCGAGAATGAAACGCCACAAGGTATCAGTGGGGTGAGCTTGGTGTACAGGACTGTTGTTTTCTTTAGTGCACTAAAGAAGCTCTCCTCTGTTCTCGCTGGGGATGAACATCTCCAGGAGCGTGAGAGCCAGCTCTTCTCTCATCTCCCTCTCTGCCTCGTTCATAGGCTGAACCCCAGCCAAAGTGGCATTGAGGGGAGGGCCTCTGGGGAAATCAGCTGTATTGTTTGGAGCTCTATCACCCCCTTCAAACGCATAAACTGTGCTGCCCACCCTCCTCCTTTTATACCACTCCTTCTCTTTTTCTGAGCACCCCCACTCTCATGAAAGGACCTGTATGAATAACAAACTTCTAGAGTTCAGCGGTCTCTCTCTGCCCCCCCATGAGACAATGGAGGGGGAAAAAGCGTGCGTTCATCCCCACCACCCCTTTAGAAGTGCTTCAGTCGCTTGGTCACTGTGGACTGACCCCCCTGTCTTAACACATTTCTGTCCACACTTAGGAGGCCTGCTGGTCGACTCGGTGCAAAGGGTGCTTTTTCAGGGGACATGTTTGGTAATGGCTGAGTGAGTTTGCCGGACCAGAGAGAGAAAGCTGTGAATGTTAATCAGATTAGGCTTATCCACCTGTGTGAACAGTGTGTGTGGAGCCAACAGAAAGTGTGTGTGTGTGTGTGTGTGTGGGAGGGGGAGTGGAATAAGGAATCGCCCAGGCTGAATGCAAGTTGCAGAACCATTATTGTGCATGCTGTTTAGATTCCTCAACTAGACATTTGCAGTGTCTCCTTTGGTATTGAAATGCACACTAATGAATTCCCTTCTCTTTTAACAGGTCTCAGCGGCAACCTCTAACAATGGGATTTCAGAACTACTGAAGAGACTGTGACAAAAGACGAGGGAAGAGGGCAAGCGAGGAGAACAAAAGGAGAGGGTTGCGGGGGAGCTGGAGGCGGTTTTGAAAAAGGAATCAGTTCTTTCGGGCCCACTGGGGGGTGTGCATGCTGCCCCCTCAACTGGACATCCTCTTTTGTGCCAGCGCAAGAAAACAAAAGCAAGTATGCCCAATAAACTGAGAGAGTTCCGGGATGCGGGCTGCTGCATGCCGAGGCTTGGGGGCAGGACTACGGCGCTTCTCCTGCTGACAGTAATGCTTGCAGGGGCCCAGGCACATTGGCCCCAGGGGCCCATGGAGGTTCTGGGGGACATTTCTGGGCAGTTGGAGGCTTCCATGCACTCCTCAGTACTTTCCGGTTTCCAGGAAGCGGAAGTGGTGGCGGCCGCGGCGTCACAACCCAGCAGCCTCCCCGACTCAGCAGCGGTGGTGGGACGAGTGTTCCAAATGCGAATCCCCACCAAAGCCAAGGACTCCAGTTGCACAGTTAAGGTGGGACAGTTTTCTCCACTCAGTTATATGTCTGCCTCTGAAATAGGTTGCAAATTTATGCAAGAGAATTTATCCACAGTTATTCATCCCCCTTTTTGCCATTTTGCATATCAGACACTTCTGCATTAGGCTACGTTTCCCAGCAAGCGTACTTAGTGGGAGAAGTGACATTGCCTCTAGCGCTGCTTCACGAAACTTATTCCGTGCTTCCCCTTCTGAGTGAAGGCCCTTAAAAGACAGCGGCCCCTGTAATAACAGAACACCACTTATAAACCACACAAGTTTCGTGTGCACCAAGGGCCAGGGCTCTCAAAGAACTGACACACCCACACTGCATGCAGATTAGTTTCATAAAGCAGGATTTTTCAGTTAACTTTAGCCCATAGTGAGAGTATGTCCAATAGAACTGTACATCTTAGGTTTGTCTGGCTAACTGAGCAATCCTTTTCAGTAAAATGTCTTCCAGCGCTTTGTTTTGCTCTGCAAACGCTTATTGTTTGTTTAAAATGCACTCTGCCTGCTGAGAGGACTTGGTGTTCTTTTCAGTACATTATCACTACCAGAGGAGACTGCCTGTCTGCTGCCTTGGTAGATTGAGGCTGTGTACTATGTACACAAGCATACAAGCATTTTATTTATTCCCCCACCCCTCACCTGACAGTGCAACTTGTTAAATCAGTGTACCAACTTTTAATTAGGTTGGTATTATTCAATGCAATATATATGTAGTGGTTGAAAACATTTACCCTACCCATTTGGTCATCTTAACAACTACCCAAAAGTTCCTGGTCATTTTTCCTCCCTCTTTTCAACTGGTCCATGTCAACTGTTGTTAAAAGCATGACCCCAGCACATATCTCATCATTGTGTTCCTCTGTCCCATGTCAGTGTTAGGAGACTCTCCCATGCCTGCCGTGTAATCCTATATTCACAGGATCATTTCTGCCCTGTCAAGCGCATTTTTAAGTTGGAACCACAAGCCCTTTTGTGCACATTCGGAAAATCTCCTCTGACAGCTGTGCGAAAGAGTGCTAAGACCCAACACTGTGCAGGGTACAGCTGTTGTCTCCAGTTTCCCACCCAAACTAATTCTGCTTTGCCATTCTCACCTTCAGTAAAGTGAATTAGGGTTCCACAGGCATTGAGTGCTGTGCAAAGCACAAAGAAATTCTTTTTTTTCCACAATTCAGAGTATCAGGGTAGGCTAAACAAAGGACAGTTTAATGAAACCTGCTTTGATTGACAGTCATTTTGTCAATTATTATTACAATGGTATTACAATTTTGCCCGTTTTTCTGTGCTCTTCAGATATGAATAGCTATTTAAGTTGACCCTTTGTGTAGTCCTATATAATAGGCCATAAGGATGATAAATAGTGACAGATGTTTCTGTTATTGTTGTCTGTCTCTTTTTTTTTTTTCTTTCTTTCTTCTTTCGAAAGAAACGCTCAGTGAATTTCTTGTGCCCCCCCCTCCACCCCACGTCTGTATTCCACTCCTCCTGTGCCTTCATATTCGCCTGTGACGGCAGGATCCTTCTTCATTCCCCGGCCCCTCCCTTTTTCAACACAAAGACTGGTGCTGAAATCTAATTAGCCTTGGCCGTGTGGTAGCGGAAAGCTCAGTATTTCTGCTGCCCAGACGCAAAAAAAAAGACTTGGAAATGTGAGTCATCCTATGTTTATGGTCAAGTATGAAATGCACCAAGTTAGACCCGTTAAGTTAAGGGGTTCTTCCCTATGTTTTTTTGTTGTGATAGCCCGTGCATAGCAACCAGCTTTGTGGTGCCGGTGTCGTATGGCAGGCTAGCATTACCAAATGCACCAGTGCTCTTTGAAGAATATTTCTATAACTCTGACAAGCCTGTCATTTTCAGAACTGGTTTTGTTGACCTACAGCCTTTTACTCAAACACAGACATTGTAGAAATGGTATGGGGAGAGGAGAATAACCCACATTTTGTGTGTAAGGCTACCAGTACACATGCTCATATGTTCCCTGTGTGTCCACAAGAGTGCAGTGCTGAGAGCTGAATGTTTAAGAAGTGTCTGCCCTTGGCTGTGCTTCCTTCAGCAGAGCTCTGTGGATATAACCTCGTGCCTTCGTTTTGCTCATTATTTTGTTATTTAGGCTATCCCATCTAGTTACCCCATATGGGTCACAGCCTATTTAAAAACTAATTTATTTGTATGCAGTCTTTCACCCTCTCTCCTTAGTCATATCGTGTACAGTGAGATGTTCGCCTACGCAGGCCAAGCGCCTATTCTGAGTGCTGATGTTAGTTTAGTGTCATGCCGAGGTTTGAACAGAGCTTACCAGTCATCCGGCCTGTCTCACGGCTGCCAGGGTATATGTTTTTCTTTACTTCTTTTGCTCTCTCTCTTGCCTAAACTTGCCGTTTTCACAACTGGCAACAGAGACTGACATTCTTTCCCCGCTGAATACAAATTTAGTGCTTTAACTGCACAGAAACAAAATTTTCTCTCCCTGAGATGCTTTATTACTTTGCTTTTGTGGAGAAATGCCAGGACACAGGAGTGACCGTCATTTGATGACCAGGGTTTACCTTTATAGAGCTAACAGAAATAGGAATGTGGAAGCCATTTAGGCCTATTTGGATTTCATATATGCAGAACATATATGTAGTGAGGACACTCAGGTGACCTTAGAAGACCCCAGTTCAGCAGTCTGGTCAATGAGTTTTTAGTTTAAGCGTGGGTTACTTTGAACATTCACACTTTCATCATCTGTGTCCAAGATGTAGCCTTGCATGTCTACCCCCAAAATCCGTTTATTATTTTTCCATTTTTTTTCCTGAGTGTAGGTGTATTCATGCACCACAGTGCGTGATTTTTTATATACGTTTTTAACAGTAAAAAATAAGCTGGAAGACCACTTCCTTATAAACAGTTGCTTGTCCGAACCGAAGGGGTCCAACCTTCATGAAATTTTCCAGTGGAAAGGCTCTGCTCTGCCAATTCCCCCTGTGTCTCCTCAGTCTCCATTTCACCCTCATATCTCAAAGACATGCCTAAGCCTACTCCTTCAAAACTATGAATCTTATCTTTTCAGCTGTCTTCACACCACAACAATAGGGCCTTTTTTCTTGTGGGCTCCTCCACAAGTACATGCTAACAATGGGCCCCTTTCTTCATCTTTCACGGAGGAGTTTTCATTTCTTTCCTTTTAATTCCTTCATGTCGGGGGAGCGTTCCATTCTTCTCCTCCATCTTCACTTGATGGAGATATGGAAGCCTCTCAGGAGATCACAGGCTTGTCCTGTGGTTTAGTTTGTTAAGGTGTGTATGCTCCCTTTATACTGGAGGACAGAGAGTCGATAGTTTTATGAGGCTACCTCACCAGTATACACTGCCCCCACTGCATCATCATGGCAAGCTTGTCACATGTGCTGAAATCAGAAAATGGAAGCCCATAAGGGAACACAGGCATTTTGTGTTGTTGGTTGATGCTTATCCTGCATCTCGTTTCTTTTTCTCTACTTTTTCTTTTAATTCAAGAAAGACTTGCCTTTGGCAGAGACGTCGCTTTCTTTAGAGTGGGTTGTATGAATCATCAGTATGGAAACTATGGTAGCTTAAATGTCAGTGAGTTTAGGGATTTGGCAGTGTGTTTTATGCTGATGTCTTGGTTTCAGGAGCCACAGTAAGGGCTAATACTAAACTTTATATGTAGAACCTAAGGACACATTTAAACTTAAGGACACAGACACAGTAACTTTGTGCTACAAACTCAATGTTTCATGCCACTGTTGAACAGACTTCTCAAGTTTTCCTCAAAGCAGCAATCGCATACAGTGGGGGCAAAAGCAGAATAAATAGCAATCTCAGTCTTGGTCCGTTTTGTAATGGACTGTAAACAATAACTCCCCGCTTTCCTGGATTTGATAGCTGTGTCTATTCTATTTTTAATCCTTCTAAATAGCACCTGTTCAGGGCTTGAACCTCTTTCAGTGCTGCAGTTTTGGTGTTTTAAGTACACTATTCATCAACTGGATTATGGATCAGCCTATAATTAGACTCCTACGTGAATTATTAACATCTTTCTAAGTGAACAAATTGGTAGGTAGTCATTGGTGTGCACTGATGAGAAAACAGCATTTAGGATCACAAAAGATTAAGAAAAAATTGCCCTCTAAAAGGCAAGGTACTGAAGGGTGTGGAAAAGGAGGGTTTGCTTCTCAAACCTCAAAAGCTTAGGGAAAGGAATAAAAAGCCCAGCTGCCACATCCAGAGCTCCCCCAGTGACTGCAGTGTACTGGTTAGAGCATTAATGATCTGTCTCGGGAGCATCGTCTCTACATTATTTATCAACCAGGATTTATTAGCCATCAGTTAAAGGGACTGCAGGCAGATATATAAGATATATTTTTAGATTTGTAGTCCAGTTTGTTTATTTTAATGTATCACTTTCTATTGATTCATTATTACACATTCCTTACTGCCAGGGTTCACTGAACATCTCTCCAGCATAACAGTGTAACTGGTGAAGTCCTTCTTATTTGAGAGAACAGTAGTGCATCTTATTTAAATAACACATCATTAATTTGTATTTCAAAACCTTACAAATGTAAGATGTAGCCTAACAACACTTCTCATGTCTCAGTGTCACCGAACGAAGGCATTGTCCATAAGCCAAACATTTTACTCAACCAGACAGCTGCCTTGAGTAGTTAGAATTTTGTGATGTTTTTGTTTTTTATTTTATTAATATTTGTTAACATTTTTCAATCTAAAAATTGCCTTTTCTTCTGGGATTGTTTTCTGCCTCACTGTTAAACAAATTCTGATTTGTAAGTGGTATCATAAGTGGGGAAACTTTTCTGTTTTAGGATCCGAAATGTGGAACTCCTTTTTGATCTGATGATGACTGACCTTTTTATCATGAAGTTTTGCTTTTTTTATTTTTTATTTTCCTTATGCTTGTTCTATTTTGCACAATTTCTGTGAAGCACCTTGACCTGCAATTTTATAAATGAAAGATTTAGTAGTAGTAGTATCAACAGCAGTAATAATATCTGACCATTCTAATTTTGAGGTATTTCAAGATCAACCTAGTTTAATCTTAGTACAGTTTAAATGCAGATGAATTGGTATACTAATATTTATGTGTATATTTTTCTTTCCAGGTTACTGAGGCAGGCAAAGATACACTACCAGCATGGTTGCATTGGGAACCAGTGAGCAGCACCCTTCAAGGACTTCCTCTGGAGGTAGACAAGGGTGTCCATTACATATCCATCTCCATTACAGATGCAAGTCATGTGTCCCAGAGCCCTGATGTATTCTCCATCGAGGTTCATCCAGAGGAACATGCTGACACTGATCCCATTCAGTTAGCAGCCCAATCAGCCAGCAATGATTCTCAGCCTTTTGTCTGTGGCAATGAAGAGCCTGTTACTGTGCTCACAGTCATTTTGGATGCAGATCTTACCAAGATGAGCTCCAAGCAGAGAGTGGAGCTTTTGGCAAAGATGAAAAAGTTCTCTGGTGTGGGGCTCCAGCACATGAGGATCTTACCTGTTGTCAACAATCGCTTGTTTGATATGTCAGCTTTTATGGCTGGACCAGGAAATGCCAAAAAGGTGGTAGAAAATGGTGCTCTTTTGTCCTGGAAACTAGGCTGTGCCCTGGATCAAAGCAACATTCCCAACATCAGCAGTGTTCAGATTCCAGCAAAGGAAGGGACAATGTCTGCACAGCTGGGATACCCTGTTGTAGGATGGCACATTGCTAACAAGAAGCCTCATGCACCTAAAAGGGTCCGGCGGCAGCTAAACAACACCCCTACACCTGTCCCCTCTTTGCTTCCTCCAACAACGTACCCTGAGCCAACCACCCGCATTGTGCCTACACCTACATCACCATCATTTGGACCGACCTCAGACAGCTCTGCACCGCCTGTCCGGGGCCCTGTACCATGGCCTGTAAGACCCACACAACGTACCAGAGATCCAATTGCCCACACCCCCACAATGGGGCCCCCTCAGCCCACAAAAATTATGGACACCACCAGTACAATTGCTATCCAGCCCACGATGACCAGGCCAGTATATGTTGGTCCTTCTGTAACTCCACCAACACCAACCACAAGGAAACCAACAAAGAGGCCCAAGAAACCCAAGACTACCCCCGTGTCAAGAGAGCCTAAGACCACCACGGCCAAGCCTCCCAGACGCCCACCTCCCTCAGTTGTTTTCCCTGACAGCAATGTGAGACCGGAGTTGCGGAACCCAATTGATCAGGTAAAGGCATACATTGGCACATACTTTGAGGTGAAGATTCCATCAGACACATTCTTTGACAAAGAGGATGGTACAACAGACAAATTAAGACTAACCCTGAGGAAGAACAGTGAAGTTGTTGGAGAGGACTCTTGGATTCAGTTCAATAGCACTAGCCAGTTGCTTTATGGATTACCAGACTGGCAGCATGAGGGTAAACATGAGTACTTTATGCAGGCAACTGACAAAGGTGGTCTCTACACAACAGATGCTTTTGAGGTCCGTGTCAATCGTTTCGGAAACAATGTTAAGCCGCCAGTTCTTTTTGCTGCTCGGTTCCAAGGGGAACCTCGTTCTGTTACCAATGATATCCACAAGAAGATACTTCTCGTCAAGAAGCTGGCCTATTCATTTGGTGATCGCAATTCTAGTTCAATTACGCTGAGAAACATCACCAAGGGGTCCATTGTAGTGGAGTGGACCAACAACAGCCTCCCGCAACACCCGTGCCCCAAGGAGCAGATCCAGGCAATGAGTCGAAGGATCTCTGATGCTGAAGGCAGGCCTTCACCAATATTCAGCAATGCCATGGATCCAGACTTCAGACCCATAAACATCACCATCAAAGGAATGGAAAGCTGTCGCAGCTACATGTTTGTTCCACCAGCTGAAATCTCAGACCCAGTTACAACTACTGTTACTCCCACTTTGGGAGCGGGACGACAGAGCACTGATGATGTTTATCTTCACACGGTCATACCAGCTGTGGTCGTTGCAGCAATTCTGTTGATTGCAGGCATCATTGCCATGATTTGTTATCGTAAGAAGCGCAAGGGGAAGCTTACCATTGAAGATCAGGCAACTTTCATCAAGAAAGGAGTGCCCATCATCTTCGCTGATGAACTTGACGATTCTAAGCCGCCTCCATCATCTAGCATGCCTCTTATCCTTCAAGAGGAGAAACCTCCTCTTCCCCCACCTGAGTACCCCAACATGGCCAGTCCAGAGACAACACCTCTGAACCAGGACCTTTTGGGTGAGTACACAGGCCTACAAGATGAGGACCCTAATGCCCCTCCTTACAAGCCTCCACCCCCCTTCTCTACCCCCATGGAGGGTAAGGGGTCCCGCCCCAAGAACATGACCCCGTACAGATCCCCACCTCCATACGTGCCGCCCTAATGTTTGTTGATCCCTCCGGTTGTGGAGGACAGGGAACTTGTGCAGTTCCAACTCCATTGTTGTCTCTTTGCATTTTTGGATGTTGGAGGGGCTCTGCGGTTTGGGACATTGCGTTGGGAGGGTTGGGACGATTTCGTTAAAAAAAAACCTGGACTTTTGAGGGAAGGTGTGTGGGTAGGGATGGGGGATGTAACTAGGTAGTCTGCAAAGGACACCAAGAGCAACCTCAGCCCCTGACTACTCTGGCTACTGCTGAACAGGTGGGAGATGTGCGCCCTCCAATCCTAGCGCTTTTGTGTCTAGATGGGCTTTTTTTGTTGTTTTATCATTTATATTTCTTTTCGACTGACTTCAGAATCAAACTACTTGCCTAACAGCACTCTTTTTATCTTCTGAACTCCTTGTTTTTGAATAATACATAAAGACAATAAGTAAACTGACTGCAGGTGCAAGTGTTTCGTAGGGACATTCTATGAATGAGGAGAAAACATGACCTAGAGGAACTTGAACAGCCATGCAGACAATTGCAGGCTGTTTTGATTCAATACAGTTTGCCTTTTAACATTAATTATTCTGTTTTTATTCCTTAATCACACGTCTAGTGAAGATGAGCGTAACAAGCCGTAGCCAAAAAGCTCGAGTGAGATGGAACCTTTTTGTAAATTTGAAGGTTGTACTGCTAGAAATTGTTTTTATTATTTTTTTTTTATTATTTTTTTTTTTTATGGTGTCAAAGTAACACTAAAATAACCTGTAGAAAAGCTGTTTTTCACCCCTAAGCGATTGTCATATGATGAGTATATTCTGGCTGATTTGTTTTCGTATCCTCTTCCCCTCCTGTCCCTATGGTGATTCATGCTAGGCCTGAACAGGTAATCACAGATATGAAGATGTCTTATTGTACTGTCTACTTTTTGATATGCATCACTGGTAACTGTTTATAGTGAAGACACCTTGTGATCTAATTTGAATGAGACATGATGTGGCCTGTGCCCTTTCAAGAAAACATTTCAAAAAGGCAAAGTCAGAATAAATGCATCTTACAGTAGGCATTTAGCACCAGTCAGAACCAATCTTAATAAGTCAGTTTGCTCAAATGATTTGAGAGGCTCACAGTCTAGGCTAGGCTTTCAAATAATATTGTTTTGTTTGTATTTTTTTTTTGTTTGTTTTTGTTTTTTGGTTTTTTTTTATTTTAATGATTATGTATGCCTTGGATTGACTCAAAATAACTGAAAATAAAGACTGAAGATTTTGATAACGAACCATCCTCTAAACATTTATTAAATGTAACGGTCATACTATATTTGCAGTTGAATGCCATTTTTTGCCTTGGTGGTAATGCAGCAAGTGTCTTCTGTAAATAATATTCCTGCCTGTGGATATAATTGTATTTATAGTCCAAGAAGTGTGTACATCAGATATTGGGGGAGACGGGTGGGGGAGGGTGGGGGGGGGGTAGAGACTCCTGCAGTTTGTTTTAGAAGAGGGGTAATTATTTTTTTATGTAGTGACTCTCTTGATCTTACATTTATGGAGGAGGGGAAAATATCAAATTATATTATTAAAATTACGTATAGTGATATTCACAACCCAGAAGTTTCAGTTTAGGGGGGGGAGGCCAGGAAGGAAGAGGTAGGTGTAGAGAAGGTTTTGGTGTCATTAAACAAAATAATCAGAAAAAAAATAAATAAATAAAAAAAAAAGGTTGATGAAATCTCAGTCTAATTTTTATAAAGTTTTTTGATACAGCCTCAAAATTGTTTTATTAAAACAATAAATAAGTAAATAAATAAATAAATGAATAGTGCATTGCGATTTGTAAAAGCTTAGCCTAGGCAATTTATTTATCATAGCGTGTTTGTCCTCATGGGTCTCCTGGTTTTTATTTTATTTTATTTTTTTTTCGTCTTGGTTTTTTTTTATTTTGACATTTTTTGGGGGGGGGCTGAAAATGGAAGGTGTGGCTAAACGCAATCATAAATCAAACATCACCCTTTGTAATCATTGCCATTTTGATTTGATTTTGTATTGTTTTACTGCTTCATGCCTCATTTTTTTCAGCTTTGGTTCTGTGTTTTGTTTTGTTTTGAAGAAGTGACCCTTTGCAATAATGTAAGGTACAGCACCATTATGACTAACGTGCTCAGATGAACAATGTATTAGAGACTTTGCAGGGACCTTAGACCCCGGTAAAGTCTAATGGGTAACTCCTCAAACCTGTATGACCTGATTATCTTGGTGTGAGCTATTTTAGTTCTAAAGCTTTAATGACACATTATATGTAGCCTAGATTGATTTTAATGGATTTGCTTTTGTTGTAATCAACTTTCAGAATGCTTCCGTATGCTAATCCCGCTTCATCTGTTTGAAATTCACTGGTTTGTTTTAAGTTTGTATTTCTAAGTTGAATCACATTAGCTGGTTAATGTGTCCTTCATGCTATGACTCGCCAGTGGGGCCTACTGAGCTACAACGGGATGAATTATATTTAGCACCTTTTGCTTTGATCAGTAACAAAAAGAAATATTAGAATTTTAGCACATTTGGTTCTGTATGTTATTCTGTTGATGAATGCAGTCAGAAGAAATTGTATGTATCTTGCAAACATCGTCATCATCTCTCTACCTCCTTGGGCTAATCAGTAAGTTACAATTGTTGCCCAAGAACGTTAAACATGAATCAAAAAGTAGAGTTGCTTTTTGAGATTTAGAGTGTAGTGGTATTTTCCGTTTGCCTTTTTTGTGGCCTTTTAAAAAAAAAAAAGTTAATTTAATACATTTCATTAAAATCACTCACTGTACAGATGAATCCGGTGTAGTCGAGCTGTCTGTCCACTCTCATAAATGTTACCTGACTGGGGGAAACGTTTTTAGATGAAAAACCAAAGATGTAAAATGTGAAATGGAGGTCACAAACTAACAATGATCTGTTCTTTTTACATGCTACTCATACTCATTTTTCCTCAGTATCACAAGGGATAGCACAAACCGTATAGAACTAATGCATTAGTGTAAATATCCCTGTTGTCAAAGACAGTGGATTATGGCATAAACCACATTTTTTGAGCCTCCTGGACAGTTTTATTTCTCACTAACCTGGCATTGGTGTTGTCTGCTCAAACCATGCATGTGTCTTCTCAGTCTAATGACTGTAGCGTTGTATTTTTCGGTTGGCTTTTGGGATCATTTTTTGTTTTCGTGTAAAATGGCAAAGGAAACGAATCTATATAACTGGAAAAATCAACCTGTCCATGGTAACACTGTTGATTACAGCTGGGTTGATCAAAAGGTTCTATTAATAACAGTAAGACGATGTTTTAATCTGTATATGCATTGAAATGTATTCAGGGAAAAAGACTGGTTATTGCATTTGTTTTCCCTGCTTCTTCTCATTCTTGTTTGAAGCTCATTTTTTTGCCCCAGTTTTTTTGGTCCGTGTCAAGTAAGGCGGGGTTCTTTTACTGTAATGCTCATTTTTGGCTCGCTCAGAGTTGAGTTAACTTAATTTTAACACCTGGGTTGCGTGGGAGGCTTGGACCTAGTACATAACTAAGCACCAGAGATAATGGAGAACAATAATCATTGAAGTAGAAAGCAGAACCGGGGAGCTTGTTCACACTTTGTGAAGCCTGACAATTACAGCTAATTACTGCAGCTTACAATCTAGATGAGAGGGTCGAATAAATGCTTGAGTAATACAGAGAATGCATACAAAATGCATTTGTTTTCTTTCTGTGTTCAATAGCATTGATTAATTTATGCCACTAGACACTGTATGTTGGAATCTTGTATTAAAAAAAAAAAGTGTTTTCACCAAAGACGTGTGTCTCGTTGTTGGTTACCTGCAGCTTAATGATATGACTGTATTATTAGTCTGGCAGTATAACGATATTTGTTGTTACATCACCTACACGTTTCTCCCAGTATATGATGGATGTCATCAGTACTTTTAGACACAGAATAACAAATATACACCCTTAAAAAAAGATGGTTACTTTACTAAATAAAATGGTTCTATATAGCGGCATTAACACACACAGAACGCTTTGCATGATTAAAGGGTTCTTTGCATCGTGAAATGGTTCTTTAGACTGATGGAGAATGTCTTGTTCACGCCTCTCTATAGAACCTTTTGTGAAAAGGGTTCTATATAGTATCAAGAGTTCTTCTGTTATGATGTCAAGTTTGTAACAGTGGAAGAACCCTTCTTTTTAAAACCATCTTCAGCATATTCTCCATCAATCTTTGCACCGTGAAGGGGTTCTTTGAGTGTTCATGGTTCTATATAGACCCATCTTTATTAAAGAACCCTCAAAGAATTTTTTAAGTGTGTATCATAGAGACCAGCAGCCAGTTGCACCAGCTGAACGTAGGTTGGATCATAAGTTGGGGTATAAAGTCCATCCTAAACCTTACGTTGAGAGTAGTTAGTCTAAAACTAGTGACGCACAATTTTGGTTGCACCACAGACACGGTACATCTTAGCTAGTAGAGCGTAAAGTGATCGTAGATAAAAACGCTGTAACACAGAATGAGAGAAGAATGAGAGAATGTGTAAATCTAGTTATAACCTAAAGCTACATTGAAACTATGTTACTTGGTTCAACCGGTTAAATACTAGTAGCTCATAGTTGAATGTAGACTGTGAGCCACTTGAACGTAGTGGCAGTTTACATTCAAACTAGGCTTCGATTGAACTTGCATTCAGCTGGTGCAACTGGCTGCAGGTCCAATAATACAGAGCTGGTTAACGTGAAAGTATGTGCTTTGAAGTCAGATGTCAGCCCATTATAGTATCATCTTGATTTGTGTTGGTAACACTGCTGAATGACCGTGTTCATAAGGCTACATGATACATAGGCCTTTCATGACAACTGTGACAAGCCTACATAAACATCTTATCAAGGCTTCTTTTGTCAGTTTTCCATGTCATTTCACCTCAGTAAGTGTTGTTAGGTTATTCCAACTGACCATTGTTGGAATAAGCCTGTATAAGGTTTATGTAGGAGTCATGTAGCCTTACGAATTCTGCATTTTAGTTCAGTTGTTTGGCCTATTTTGACTCCTTTTCTCAGTAGCCATACGAAGCCGTTTCCACCTGTTCTGAAACTCCCTAAGTTGTACTATATGTGCATTTTTTTTTCT